GATCTTAAGCACTAAGAATGCTTCATGATACTGGCCCCAGTCTTATAATTTTATATAATTTTCGTCTACAAAAGACTCACCAGTGGCAATCGAATCAAAAAGTGAAAAGACCAAATCAAGTACGAATTTGAAGAGTATTGCGAACTTAAAAAATTCCGAAAGTTTTGCCAACTACAGCTACAGATAATCTATGATATACAAAAATTTCTCTTGAACTTGAATTACTTAAGTTTATATATCACTTCATTAAAGTATGAGAAGTCGGTTAGACTTGCGCATTATTACTCAGAATAAAACTATATATTAAATTATGAGTAATCCAAACGTGGTAAATATCCTTCTGACTCGAAGCCCTTGTTGAACTTCTTTTAAGTGGAATTTTATTTTTTGTTTTCCTTAGTGGACTCTACTAAGTAGCATATTCTAGACCACTGACTAGATTTAATTGAAAGTAGTGATGTAATCTTTAGTATCGAGTTGCACTGTACATCTCAAAATTTGTTTCCTTTTTAATGATTTATTGAAATTAGATTGCAAATCAAGGACACACTCGTTTTACGGGTGCAATAAGAAGTTGTACTCCATAGTTTCTTTCGTGTTGTACATTTTTAGAGAAAGTTAAAAAAAAAACATGTTCTAATGCATATTTGGTAACAAAAACTTGAATCATCTCTTTGTTCTTCAACTTTATCTTCGTACTTTATAAAAATAAGGAGATGTAATATGATTGCCAATGAGACAACTATCCACCAAAGTTCAAATGAAGTGGTTGTAAGCAATTATAGGCAACCGTACGGTCTTCAACAATGAGAAAAACCCATACCGTATAGTCGGCTATAAAAGGCTTCTGTCAAAGTCATTAATTTATGTGGACGATAGTGTAATAAAATCATATCAACCCTCCAGCCACCCCAACACAGCCGACATTTTACGAAGATGTTGTGCCCTATTGGTTCACGTTATGTTACTATAATAAATGTTTAGGCCAAACATTTATGTAAATTTTCTGAGTTGTTAGGGTGCCTACGTACTTTAACGAGGAATAGTCTCATCTTGATTGCTCAACAGCTCTATTTCACGTCGGTCTTTGCCCACAAAGATTTACTGTAATGCGGTACCACGTGGAAAATCAAGTAAGGCTATACCGCTCAGTAACGACTTGCTAAAGTACTCTGAGACAAGTAGACTGGTAGTCGTACACACGCGCGTATGCAAATACCCCTATGGTGACGCATTTCTGTTCAAAGATATGTGGCTAGCTCAGGCACAGTATTTTAGCGGCAAATTATCCTTAATTATCTGAGAACACATTATCCTTTTATGTACATAGGTACATACTGTGTGTTTCGTGTCAACTGCAGGTAGCATATATAAAGGCAACAGTAGTTTACCGCTGTTCAATAGTCATAAATCAATTTAACTGAAAAAAATCCTGGTCACAAACCAAAACCGAGGAAACACATCAACTATAAGAGGAAAAAACGGAACAATATAAATACTGAACTGCTACAAAAACAAACGCCAACATACATAGAAACGGACTATTTGATAACATCTGCCATATTCCTGACTTGGTACAGGACATTTTAAGAAAAAAATGGTGGGTTGAACCTGGTTTTATGGCTAGCCAAACCTCCTGCTTATATGGCAATGTTAAAAATACCGCTAAAATGACAACATTATGTGACAGAAACACATTTCAACTAAACACAAGAACACTCAGGACAGAGACATACATAAATAAATAATACAATAGTACATTACAACATCTAAACCATAGAATAACAACGAACACCTCCAATTTACACCACAATAGAATTATGAACTGTGAGTCACACGAATGTATCATCGCCACAAAAAGTGACGTCACAGGTAAATTTCTCAAAATAGAATATAAAATTGAGATTAAGTTTGTAATGGTGTTATTTTATGTATTTTCTAACCATTACAAGAATATTAATATATGTATTTTCTAACCGTTTTTTCTTCTAAATCAAAACTGTTAAAACAAATAAATCCTGTGCATATAGTAGCTTTAAACTAAAAATCATATAAATGAACTAGCTGATTAATCATCTTAACTTTTACATACATGTAGAAAAACAAATAGAATTCAAACCTATTAGACATAACACAATATCCAACCAGAATTACACACGAAAAATCATAACTAAATTCATGAATGTTGGGTGTATAAATACATGTCTAATAGCAATGCAAATTCACACTCCGGAAAACAGTCATATTCGGGAAAAGGTCACGTTCGGTACTTAGTAGATCAGACGACGTAGATGGTAAACCATAATCTAAGACGTGGTAAAAATGTCGTGAGTTAGTTTAGACACAGACACATCGTATAGATCAATCAATTCGTGATAGTGTCCATATAATTTACGGAGTGTCATTTTTAATCTTTCCTCCTCATAACTCTGTTTGAGCAGATTCTGTGATAGGAGCACACTCCTGTATATGAAGTCCTTATAGTGTGAACATGCACGAGCATAACGTATCAACTGAGATATGTAAACTCCATACGATGGTGCAGAAGGTATGTTACTGCTGAGAAATGGGAAATTGATAATTGTGAAGTTGAAATCGTCCCGTTTGTCATAGATTTGTTTTGTTCTTGATTTACAATATGACAGAACTGAGTGAATAACATGATACTAGAGAAAAAAAAAACATCCTCAAGCAATTGCACAGTGTGCCGTGCACACTGCTCGGATGATTGAGTATAATGTTGGCGTCAATTAGATCACATTAATCGCTTTTCATTCAACGACGCCAAGGAAGTTTTCTGTAACTTTACTTTATACCGTACGCTTGATGTCAATTTTATTATGTCTGAAACATGTTATATTAATGGGCAAAACTTGCAGAATAAAAATAAAGAACAGAGAAAAATAGGCCACACTAATAAAGAATAGAGAATAATGGGGTGCTGAAATATTATAAAGAATAGAGAATAAGCCTTAAGGTCAAAACAGATAAAGAAAAGAGAAAAATGGTTTAAAAAGTTAATAAAGTATAAAGAAATGAAGTATCCCCCATCCAGACCCTCATCAATGTAGAGAAGTGTCTTAGATATTCACATGAAACCCGTATCTGAGTTTCTTATACGTTGAACATAATGAGGAATTGTGGACATGTTTGTTGTTCAATGAATTTTTAACTGGATTACGATATAAATTATAGATATGAAAAATCGACTGTAGCCTTGGATCTTGGGTCACAGTTAGACAACAACAACGTCAAAATCAGTCAGTTATGGTGGTGTTAATCACTTGTCAATAAATTCAAAGCAACGCTCCTGAAAATAGTCACAAGTCCTTTCGTTTTTTGTTAAAACCATCACGAGACTTATAAAAAGTAGACTACAGAAAAAAACCACAAACCGTTTTATTTATTTTGATGAGTTTAATCCCATAACTCCGAAAAGACCTTTTAAAATGGCATAAAAACTAAAAGGAGGCTTGAGTTTATTGCCACTGACAGTATATATAACATTTTTATTTCAATCGTTACAAAGATTTCAAAGATAGACAGCTAGATTTAAACAACTTATAATCTCGACTTAAAAAGATACACTAGATTTCAATAACGAAATAAGATATGGAAAATATGCAATTGGATTTGAAAGACTACATGCCAGATTTGAGAAATATACAACCATTAATTGCAGATGTGTTTTTTAGAGTTTAACTGTGAACCTTAAGTTTATTGTTTTAGATTGAGCTTTTTAATTTTGAAACCTTTGCTGTTGTTGTTTTTGTTGATGTTTTTTTTCAAACATAATTTCATATAGAAATAAGGAGATATGGTAATCTGTGCTTGTTAACTATATAAACCAGACTTAGACGTGGATATATATCTTTATCTCATCGTATAGTCTTTAACAATGAATAAAACATATTACATGTACGCATATTCATCTATAAGTAACACCAAGATGACAAAATGTAAAACAATTCAAACGAAAAAGTAATCCATTTCTATGTGTGTTTATTCATTGTTATTGTCATTACTTGTTGCACTGTCCCAGATTTCATGTCATACGTGTTTTACAATATTAGAAACAATTATTTTTTCAGAAGACATTTTGCTTTATGGTTCAACGGAACTCAGCTATGAACAAATAATCAAAATATTCTTTGCAGTTACAACATTCATACTCAAAAGAAAACGATCTATCATATGATCAATCACATTGTTCAACTAGTATAAGCCTACAGTGCATGTGTATACTAGTATCTATACTAAATACTTGTGTTCGTTGAAAAAAATGTACTTCACAATTATATTTTTCTAATATATCTGATTTTTTTGTGTGTGTATTATTGAGGTTTAGCTAGCTATAAAAGCAGGTTCAATCCACCATTTTCTACATAAGAAAATGCCTGTACCAAGTCAGGAATATGACAGTTGTTATCCATTCGTTTGATGTGTTTGTTTTTTGGATTTTGCCAGTTGATTGGGGACTTTCTTTTTTTAATTTTCCTCGGAGTTCAGTATTTTTGTGATTTTATTTTTTATTATATTTTTTAAAATTTTGTTTCTTGTTTGTTTGCCATTTAGTGATTTGATTTGATTTAAATATATTTTAGATGAAAACAGTCGAAATGTGCTTATTTGTATTAGAAAATGGATTAATACAATTTCACAACCGGTTTCCGGGTCCTACTAATTATTCAATTGTAGTGATATGTTCATACCATATTGCATCTGCACGTTGTTGAACTTAAATCAAATAAAAAGAATGATTATGTTTATACTATTTTTAATCAACGAAAACGAGCTAAAGAATCTAAAATTTGTACATAAAGTCTCCTGCGTTTTTCAACATTCCGTGTGAAAAAAGTATAGTTATAAAATATTGCGCCATCAAGTGTCTTATCCGATCTAACAAGTGGGTTTATATCTTGGTTAATCTGTTACAATATATCAGGAAGATATAACCCATTCTCCAATCACATCCGAACTCATTTATAAACAGTGTAAGACTTGACGACTCAACATTTTCTTTACTGTAACAAGACCATGGAAGACATAAGTTATCTTTGTAATCCTCTTGTAGAACCGTTTGTTTATGAAACTATTAGAGACAAGTTGGAAAGATACTCCGAGGAAACACCAGATAAAGAAGCCATCGTATTTTACACATCTGAATTTGAGAGACAATCTTTGACTTTTGGGAATCTATATAGAAAATCATGGGCATGTGCTCAAGGTCTCATTCAGTTAGGAATACAACCAGGTGACGTCGTTGGTCTAGGTTTACCGAACATTCCAGAATGGATTCTTTGTCATTTTGGGATAGCTCTTGCTGGTGCAATCACTCTTGGATTCCCGTATTTTTCAAATGATGGACAAAACATTGTTAAAGCATTGAATCAGAGTGAGAAATGCACCGCTATTATATTCGGAGATAACGCTGAAAATATTGACATAATCCGTCATTTTGTAAGTGGCACTGACGGCAGTGGAAAAGTTCTAAAAGCAGATGTTTCATCGTTGAAATATGCTATTCGAGTTGGAACAGAAGATGCCGGTGATTTTCCGTTCACATTTGGATCACTTCTGCAATTAGGGGAAAAAGATGTTGGAATAGAGCTACCAACTATTCATCCGGATGACGTCTTCATGATAATACTGTCCTCTGGAACAACCAGTCCATGCAAGCTTATCTCCAAAACTCATTTTCATATCTTATCCGTACTACCAATGACGAACCATGTGATGAGGATGGGAAAAGATGATATTGTCTTTAGTTGCCAGCCATTTATGTGGATTGGTGGTTATGTCTTTTCGTTATTAAATTTTGGCAACACATTGGTGACAGTTACTAGTTATTTAAACAACATGAGAACCGCTAGACAATTTGCCAAACTGACAGCAAATGTCATTGAGAAAGAAAACTGTACCTTTGCTGGGATGTATGGTCCTTCTCTGCTAGTATTTTCGGATGACGAGGTAAAATGTTCAAGCTTTCCACTGAAATGTGTAACTACAGCAGGATTCCCGTTATCTAAAACCTATGCTAATATAGTAGGAAAAGTAGCCCGACGTTTTATTAACGTTTATGGAACAACCGAACTTGGGTCTATCTGTTACAAAGAAATAGAAAGACCGGAGGACTTTGAGGATTATTCAGTTGGATTTCCAGTAAGAGGCATAGAGATAACTGTTATTGACAAAGATGGTAAACTTTGTCAAAGAAACGTCATTGGAGAAATAAATGTTCGATCCAGCGTTCGTTTCCTTGGGTATTTGAACGACCAAGAAAAAACCATCAAAGTTTTAGACAAGTTTGGCTGGTTTAAAACAAATGATATCGGATACGTTACTTCCGATGGCCAAGTTGTCGTCAGTGGTCGTTTATCGGATATAATCATAATAGGAGGGAAGAAAATGTCTCCTGTACATTTAGCAAATGTACTCTCTGCACATCCAGACATATTAGATGTCGAAGTTATAGCTATTGAAGACAAGGTGATGTTCCAAGAAGCATGTGCCTGTTTAATAAAGAAACCAGGATCTACAGTCACATGGGACGATCTTGAAGCTCTTACTGTTGACAAAAGCATCACCAAAAAAGAAAGCATACTTTTCAGACTTTTTGTTCCAAAATACCATGTTTTCATGGACTCGTTCCCTAGAACAATGAGCGGGAAGGTTGAAAAGAAACAATTGAAAGAGGACGTTCTAAAGATTTTAAAACTGAAATAATGGCCGTATTTTACCAATCGAATCTAGTAACAAATAATCCGACAATACGATGATATGTGTGTTATAAGACAATGAATATATACAAATTTTATAATCTCTGACTATTGTAATTAAATTTCGTTTTGAAAAACTGTATTACATTTATTAGCTAGACTTCATAAAAATAAGGAGATGGAATATGATGCCAATGAGACAACTACCCCGCAAAGTCCAAATGACGAGTGTGTAAGCGACTATAGCCAACATTTAATTTGCTTTAAGCTCATGCATGGGTCGGAAAAGAACTGTCTTATAACTAGAAACCTTTAATATCAAAATGTTTGTAAAAATTCGAAAATCTGAAAACATTTCTATGAGAGCAAATGCAGAAATAAAAAAATATTCACTTCCCAAATACCACGTGTTCATTGACTCATTTCTAAGAACAATAAAAGAAAATGCTGAAAGGGGAAGTTCTCAAGACTTTATAATAGAAACAATCTATTTCTGTTCTATTAGTTACAAATGAAGAAAGGATTATTTTTGTAAACAGTGTTCCCTTATACTGTAACACAAGTAAAAACCACTTTATTTTTTGAGAGTGTGTCATTGTTTGTCAAAGTATGCACTACCGCCTTTTTTTTGCTTTTTACATATGTACTTCCTATTTCTGTAAGAGATTGTAGCTTTCGCGTTTATCTTTAGCAAACAAACAGTTGCGGACGAAATTAGGGATTAAACAAATGACTTCTTAAATCTTTTTCTATCTTATTTTAACCTTTAAGGAAATAGGAAACCCTCTTAAATTGCGTCGCGAGTGAAAAGTGTGAATTTGTTATATGGATGATACCATTAGAATATACTATTTAATTCATTTAATAGTTTACTTACCTTCGTCTGTCAATCATCAATCGAATAAATCTAATGTAAAACCCATTGTTTTCTTTCCTGGATTCATAGTTTGTGAGAGAAAACACATCAAAGATACCATGCTTATAATTTTGCATAGTTTTCGTCTACAAAAGACCAGTGGCCCTCGAATCAAAAAGTGAAAAGACCAAATCAAGTACGAAGTTGAAGAATATTGCGGACTTAAAAAATTCCGAAAGTTTTGCCAACTTCAGCTTAGGTAATCTATGATAAATAGAAATTTCTCTTAAATTTGAATTACTTAAGTTTATATATTACTTCATGATAGTATGAGAAGTCGATCAAACTTGCGCATTATCACTCAGAATAAAACTATATATTAAATTATGAGTAATCCAACCGTGGTAAATATCCTTCTGAATAGAAGCACTTGTTGGACTTCTTTTAAGGGGAACTTGATTTTTTGTATCTCTTAGTGGACTAATTTCGTTAGTAGTTTTTTATAAGCAATATTCTCTAGACCACTGACTAGATTTAATTGAAAATAGTGATGTAATCTTCAGTATCGAGTTGCACTGTACATCTCAAAACTTGTTTCCTTTTTAATGATTTATTGAAATTAGATTGCAAACCAAGGACACTCTCGTTTTATGGGTGCAATAAGAAGTTGAACTGCATAGTTTCTTTCGAGTTGTACATTTTTAGAAATAGTTAAAAAAAAAAAACATATTCTAATGCATATTTGGTAACAAATCTTTAAATCATCTCTTTGCTCTTCAACTTTATCTTCGTACTTTATGAAAATAAGGAGATGTGGTATGATTACCAATGAGATAACTTTCCATCAAAGTTCAAATGAAGTCGATGTAAGCAATTATAGGCAACCGTACGGTCTTCAACAATGAGAAAACTTCATACCGTATAGTCGGCTATAAAATGCCCCGACATGAAAAATATGAAACAATTCAATTGATAAAACTAACGACCTAATTTATAACAAAACAATTGAAGAAAAACAAACACGACAACCACTGAACTACAGGCTCCTGACTTGGGACAGGCACATAAAGAATGTGGCGGGGTTAAACATGTTTGTGAGCGCTCAACCCTCTCCCCTAACCTCGAATATTGGTGTAACAGCACAACATAAGAAAAAATTATAAAAATCATTTGAAAAAGGCTTATCTCTTCAGATCGATACAAAGCAGAAAAACATCAAACAAAAACACAGACCGGACGTGGCAGGGTACTTATCCATCCCTAATCCCTAACATAAAAAAAGACACTAAGTACAGATCTGATAGTACTTGCAGTTATTGACAGCTAGTTCAAAGCTAATAAATTTGTGCAATTCCAAAATAAAGGTATCGACAAATTGTATTACCGTTAAAGTGCATATGTGTATAACAATACTATTATGTATGGTTTTAATTTACTGATAACAAAATCAATATTTATACTAATAGAAACAATATTCAAAGATCTAATTACAGAGTTGAATTGGTAACCTTTTAGAATAAGTTTATTCAAAAGACTGATAAGTTTACCCAGATCGTACATAAATTTCCGGATTCGGTAAACAATATAAGAAATTTTTAATTAATGTTTATGAAAGTGTTTTACTATCTGTCCGACTCGGCTTCTGTCAAAGTCATTGATTTATGTGGACGTTAGTGTAAAAAAATCAAATCAATCCTCCAGCGACCTCAACACAGCCGACTTTTTACGAAGATGTTGTGCCTTTATGGTTCATTTTATGTTACTATACTAAATGTTTAGGCCAAACATTTATGTAACTTTTCTGAGTTGTTAGGGTGCCTACGTACCTTAACGAGGAAAAGTCTCATCTGGATTGCTCAACAGCTCTATTTCACGTCGGTCTATGCCCACAAAGATTTACTCTTATGTGGTACCACGTGGAAAATCAAGTTAGGCTATACCGCTCAGGAACGGCTTGCTAAAGTACTCTGAGACAAGTAGACCGGTAGTCGTACACACACGTGTATGCAAATATCCCTATGATGACGCATTTCTGTTCAAAGATTATGTTGTACTGTTTCACCACTGTCCCAGGTTAGGGGGAGGGTTGGGATCCCGCTAACATGTTTAATACCGCCACATTCTGTATGTATGTGCCTGTCCCAAGTCAGGAGCCTGTAATTCAGTGGTTGTCGTTTGTTTATGTGTTGCATATTTGTTTTTCGTTCATTTTGTGTACATAAATTAGGCCGTTAGTTTTCTCGTTTGAAATGTTTTACATTGTCATTTCGGGGCCTTTTATAATTGACTGTGCGGTATGGGCTTTGTTCATTGTTGAAAGCCATACGGTGACCTATAGTTGTTAATTTCTGTGTCATTTGGTCTCTTGTGGAGAGTTGTCTCATTGGCAATCATACCACATCTTCTTTTTTATATATACTAGCTCATGCACAGTATTTTAGCGGAAAATTATCCTTAATTATCTGAGAACACATTATCTTTTTATGTACATATAGATACATACTGTGTGTTTCGTGTCAACTGCAGGTAGCATATATAAAGGCAACAGTAGTATACTGCTGTTCAATAGTCGTATGTCGATTTAACTGAAAAAAATCCTGGTCACAAACCAAAACCGAGGAAACACATCAACTATAAGAGGAAAACAACGGAACAACATAAACACTGAGCTGCTACAAAAACAAACGCCAACATACATAGATAACATCTGCCATATTCCTGACTTGGTACAGGACATTTTAAGAAAAATGGTGATTGAACCTGGTTTTATGGGTAGCCAAACCTCCCGCTTATATGGCAATGTTAAAAATACCGCTAAAATGACAACAACATTACGTGACAGGAATACATTACAACTAAACGCAAGAACACTCAGGACAGATACATACATAAATAAATAATATAATAGTACATTACAACATGAAAACCACAGAATAACAAGTTACACCTCCCATTTACACCACAATAGAATTATGAACTGTACGTCACACGAATGTATTAACGGCACAAAAAGTGACGTCACAGGTAAATTTCTAAAAGTAGAATATAAAATTGGGATTAAGTTTGTAATGGTGTTATTTTATGTATTTTCTAATCATTACAAGAATATTAATATAGAATTGCGTTAGTGATGATGTAATTATTTGTATTTTCTAACGGGGTTTTCTTCTAAATCAAAACTAACTGTAAAAACAAATAAATCCTGTGCATATAGTAGCTTTTAACTAAAAATCATATATTTAAACTAGCTGATTAATTATCTTAACTTTTACATACATGTAGAAAATAAATATAGAATTCAAACCACAAACCATAAGACATAACACAATATCCAACCAGAATTAAAAATGAAAAATCATAACTAAATTCATGAATGTTGGATGTATAAATACCGATACATGTCTAACAGCAAAGCAAATTCACACTAGGGAAAACGGTCATATACGGGAATAGGTCACGTTCGGTACTTAGCAGACCAGACGACGTAGATGGTAAACCATAATCTAAGACGTGGTAAAAATGTCGTGAGTTAGTTTAGACACAGACACATCGTATAGATCAATCAATTCGTGATGGTGTCCATAGAATTTACGGAGTGTCATTTTTAATCTTTCCTCCTCATAACTCTGTTTGAGCAGTTTCTGTGTAAGGAGCACACTCCTGTATATGAAGTCCTTATAGTGTGAACATGCACGAGCATAACGTATCGACTGAGATATGTAAACACCATATGATGGAGCAGAAGGTATGTTACTACTGAGAAATGAGAAATTGATAATTTGGAAGTTGAAATCGTCCCGTTTGTCATAGATTTGTTTTGTTCTTGATTTACAATATGACAGAACTGAATGAATTACATGGTACTAGAGAAAAACATATCCTCAAGCAATCACACAGTGTGCCGTGCACACTGCTCGGATAGTTAAGTATAATGTTGGCGTCAATTAGATCACATTAATCGCTTTTCATTCAACGACGCCAAGGAAGTTTTCTGTAACTTTACTTTATATCGTACGCTTGATGTAAATTTATTATGTCTGAAACTTGTTATATTAATGGGCAAAAAGTGCAAAATAAAAATAAAGAATAGAGAAAAATAGGCCATACTAATAAAGAATAAAGAATAATGGGGTGCTGAATTATAAAGAATAGAGAATAAGCCTTAAGGTCAAAACAGATAAAGAAAAGAGAAAAATGGTCTAAAAAGTTTACGAACAAAGAAATGAAGTATCCCCCATCTAGATCATAATGAATGTAGAGAAGTGTCTTAGATATTAACGT